GTTTTACTGTATTACTGTTAAGCAGGCCTTCGGTAATCTCGGATTACTGGCCGGTTACGGTGCTAAACCCATAGGGCCGGGTTTGGGTCGTGACACTAGGGGTGAAACAGAACAAATCCCAGCAAGGCAGACAGAGTAATTCCTGAAGAGCATCGCACAATCATTACATATTATTTGTTGTAATAAATTAGACAGTCTCCTTTTAGTTATTATTATTCATTCGGATTTGTAATAATTATTTATTCGGACACTTGGACATTCGGACCCTTCTACGAGAGGGCATACAAAATTGTAATAATGTATATGTTTTCCAACCCCACGTCTTTCTCCATTTTATTTACCAGCTTATGATGGTTAGTTTAAGAATATCATGTTTAATTTAGCATACTCATGTTTGAATCCACTTGTATTGCATGCATAAAAGTTCGGCTCATCATATTATTCAAATGTCAAATTCAAACTCTTTACTTGAATACATACACTATCACATGCCTTGAATTAACTCGCATGCCATGCTAGTAGCCGAGCTTATTAATTGCATATTGTACGTGTTGCATTAGCCATATTATATAGTTAGGATCATGCATTTTTCTAACTAGTTCTTTTTTTGGCTTGGAGTACGAGGTAAGTTTTTATGCTTTAGCATATTGCATAAGTGTGATTGTTGTCGTATCAAACATACTACCATGATGCTAAATGCTTAATTGTTAAATTATTTGAATGCCTGTGGATGAAGGCTATTCACTGAAATTGGGATACTTTGATTAAATGTATATATATGAGATCATTTTTTCAAGTGGTACATATTCAAAGCACTTTTTCAAAACAAACATGAAATCAAACGTTCCAACTTCTAGTGAAATTAGTCTATACTTGTATGTTAAAAATAAAATAAAAACTATATTGTACATAAGAATCACATCATAATTAGTAGAGACCGATCTTTGATTGGGTGAGCGGTGTGCTCATTATTGACCTTCCCTTATCCTACCTAAGTTCCCGAACCAAGACACTTTGGTAACGACGGACTAATGGCCTTTGGCATGAGTCACGGGTTTCCTAAATTTTTCAAAATAAATATTTAAGTGGCGACTCTGATATCTGGCAAAACAGTCCATTTTTGGCATTTGAAACATCGATTTTTCAAAAGCAATTGTCGGATTTGGACTCTTTTCGTGTTTCCACTGTTTCACATTATACTTGTGAAATCAAATTCAGAACCGACACAAGTGGAGTCCGAACTGTAGGGGCTATTTCATTCTTCCGAAAGGGAGCACGGAAAGCCGAGCTACATCTCCCTCTTAGATTTTTATTTTCTGTTGAGTCTAACACTAAGGCTCACATATATCTATCTATATATATCATATGATGAGCCAAATATGGCTTAGCGAATCAGAAGAAATCAATTTTCAATTAAACTTCCCAAATGGCTCTAAAAATTTCCATTAGTCTACCTATGTGCTCAATTTCAGTTTCTGAACCCATTAAGGTTGTCAATTTCTGTTCCAAAGTCGTAGCCCCAACAAATATTTTTCCCAATTCAGACATATATTTTCAAATTAAATCATATTAATTCATAATTTTATAACAATCATCGTGACACTTACAATTTATGTTGGTTGTTGATTTAGTTTTTTTTTTTTTTTTTTTTTTCCATTTTTAGGGTTTTGTTTATTTTAGGGTTTTGTTTATGGGTCATATTTCTTCAGTTCCATTCTCCCAAACCCACAATTTTTTGAATCAATTTAGTACATTCTATGTGAATTTCATTCTCCCAAACCCACAATTTTTTTTAAAATGTTTTTGAATTTCCCAACAATGGCTTCAAGACCCATCATTCAACATCAAAACAGAGGTATTTTACATTGTCTCTTTACATGTAACTTTATAGAGATATGTCCAATTGTGGTGAGTGTATGAAGATCATCATTGAGTATATGAACTGGTTTGAGGAAGATGGTTGTAGTTTCCAATTTTGTGTAGAACACCATTGAGTGTTATTCTCTACTTCTTTTCTTTTTGTTGTCAAATTAGAGTTTTTTTTTCGATTTACTGTAAAAAAAAAAAAAAAACAACAACGCACTATTGAGTGTTTATGTTGGTTATTGATTTAGATTTTTTTTCCCAATATTAGTTGATGCGCTTTTTTATTTTTATTTTTCTAAACTACATTAGTTAATGTATTGCAATTAAACATTTAATTCTCCAGATTGACCCTAATCTGCTTTACATTAGGGAGAGTATGTTTTTTAATATGGATGTTGAATAGTTTTTTGGAATTGGCTACTCTTCATCATTTGTCTAATGCTAGCTGTATAGTATGGTTGTGGTGATAGTGTACGAAGATCATCATTGAGTATATGAACTGGTTTGAGGAAGATGGTTGTAGTTTCCAATTTTGTGTAGAACACCATTGAGTGTTATTCTCTGCTTCTTTTTTTGTTGTTGTCAAATTAGAGTTGGTTTTTTGATTTATTGGTCACGACCCGTTCCCCATACCCAAAGGTTAAGTATTGTGATGACCAGTAACTGAAGTTACCTCCGGCTAATTCTTGAACAAATTAATAAACGCGAGTGGAAATAATATTTAAGTAAGGGTATCAAAATAATCATCGGAGTTTCTATTTTTATTACAAAATTTATTGACAAAAATGGTCGATATTTACATATAAAAAATATCATAAAAGTGCTGTGTGTGTCTATTCCGCAGCCCCGTATCTAAGATTTTTCAAAAGCTATTTCTGAATTGTATTGTTTCTTAAAAATTGGTAAACAACTATAAGCACATGGCAGAGTAAGAAATATTACGCCAAGAGTATAAGGGATACAAAATAACCATGGATAGTTATGTAACTAAAATATTTAAATCACTTAATCTGAACAAATAATCATTTAAGTAGCAAAACTGAGATTATGTAAATAAATAACCATAACCACGGTACCAAACAAAACGGAACAGAGACAGTCAGAGCAGAGGTCGGGATTCAAGAGGTGGCTCGTACGGATTATAGAGGTGGCTCCCACAATAGTGTAGCACTTATCTCCGCACAGCACTTTGCTCTGCACAAAACAGAGGTCAATAGATCCATGACAATAGAGGGTCACAAAGTGACCAAACAAAGGTCAATGATTATTTAAGTCCCTTAAGGCATGTGACTCCCGTAGTGGTACTTACAAAATATAATTGTTTAAAAGGTCATAGTCAAATATTCTTTAAAATTTAAACAAACATATCCATGGATTTCATTTTAACAAATAGAATTCAGAAATTAATCCACGTAATTGAAATATTAATATAATCTATAATAATTTATAAAATATAACTTGTATAAAATAAATTATGGTAAGTCAAAACATACGTAAAATATATTATAGTGACTCAAAGTATAATATAACTCACCTTAAAATGAATACCCCACTATTACTTCTTTACTTCTAGTATTTCTTCTCTTTTCCTTTCTCCTGTTTTTTGTTCTTTCTTTACATTCACAGCCACACTCCCCCTTTTATACTAAATTGACTACTTGCTCAACACGTTTGGTGACACGTAACCTCTCTAATTGCAGCCATCATCAAGCTAGAATCTTATCCCTCAAATGGATAAGTGTAGATTAGTTCCTTATTTATACATTGACTCCTAAATTTTGTATTAATTACATTGTTTTTATAAAATTACATATAATAATACAAATAAATCATATGTTTTCCCAACTGTAATTAAATAATATTAGTACCAATTTTAAAGAATAATTAAAAATTTGGGTTGTTACATATTGTAAAAAAAAAATAAAATGCACCATTGAGTATTTATGTTGATTGTTGATTTGGATTTTGTTTTTTGTTTTTTTTCCCCCTAGTAGTTGGTACGTTTTTTTTTATTTTTTATTTTTCTGAACTATACTAGTTATTGTATTGCAATTAAACATTTAATTCTCCAGATTGACCCTAATCTGCTTTACATTGGGAAGAGTATGTTTTTTAATATGGATGTTGAATATTTTTATTGGAATTGGCTACTCTTCATCATTTGTCTAATGCTAGCAGTGTAGTATGGTTGTGGTGATAGTGTATGAAGATTATTATTGAGTTGAGTGTATGAACTGGTTTGAGGAAGATGGTTGGGGTTTCCAATTTTGTGTAGCACACCATTGAGTGTTATGCTTTACTTCTTTTTTTTTTTGTTGTCAAATTAGAGTTGATTTTTTGATTTATTGTAAAAAAAACGCACCATTGAGTGTTTATGTTGGTTGTTGATTTAGATTTTTCCTCCCTATTAATTGGTGCGCTTTTTTTAATTTTATTTTTTTGAACTACATTAGTTAGTGTCGTTTGATACTCCTTATCATTTGTCTAATGCTAGCTATTTCACCAATGATCTCTTGCTTACCTTATAGAAACCAGTATTTCTTTATATTCAACAGGTTGGAAGTAAGGTAAAACAAAGTTTTCCTTTTAAAAAAAGTTTGGCTATTAATTTTGAAATTTTTTTTGAATTAAACGTTTAGTTATGAATTTTGAAATTTTTTTTTAATTGGAATTATGATTTCAAAATTAACCAAATGCTGCCTAACATCATTTTTATATTATAGTATAACAAAAATTTGGAATTGGATGCCAAATTTGACAATTTGGAGATGCTCTAAGTTGTCTAATACCTATTCTCACACACAAAACTAGCACGGGACTCCCAGTTTGAAAACTAAGTCGAAAAATTCACTTTTTCACACTTAAGCGTGAAAATAGAAAAAAAAAAAAAAAAAAAAAAAAAAAAAAAAAAGGTCTAATACAATGAGTAAGAAAATGTGAGTTTGATTGCATAATTTAAATTGTTAAAATTATATATTTTTATTTAGACCATATAAATGAAAATTAGTAAATTTTTTAAAAAAACAAACAAATAAATTAAATTGATAATTTAAAATTAAAAAAAAATGAAAATAATTTAGAACAATAATATCTGTACAAGATGGGTGCAGGGAGAAATATTTGGGATGTATTTAGAACATCCTCTCACTATTTTCATCATTTAGGTTCCCCATTTTGGCTCTGTCGTTGTGAGATCTCTATTTTCGATTTTTGTTTGTAATAATCCGATCATGGCGGCCTCTGCTTTAATCTGAAAGTTTTTCCCGGAAAATCTCGTTTTCTCGAGAATTAATTCAACAGAATGCCGGAAAATAACGGAGCATGAGGTTGAGATTTTCTGGGGAAAATTATGAGGTCTTCGTTCTGGACGGACGACGCGAATGTTCCATCAACCTCGAGTTTGCAGCCCCGCAGCCCTCGCGCTAGCCCTACAAACCATCTGAATTCCAATCACAGGTCTGAAAATTAACCCTAATTTCGTATTCATTTATCGTTTATGATCGTGTAATTTCGTCAACATTGATTTTTTTTTAGTGGGTGAAGATCTGAAATTTTATGAGTTTTGGTGATGTCATTTCGATTTTGAGCCTCATTTTCAAGGTTTCGATGATTTCGGATGAGTTTGTTTGTAATTCAGCTCAGATTTAATGCTTGATCTGGGGTTTTGAACCTAGGTTGCATCGAATATGTATTGGATGTGAACTCAAATCATGATATGTTAATCCTGACAATTTGTTAAGTACAAGTTTAGTTCTTGTGTTGGCATTTTATTCTTAAATTGGTGTTGTTTGATGAAATTTAAGTTTTTTTTAGGGGGTTCGTAATTGTGTATGTATTGTTGCCAAAAGTTTCATTGACAATATAATTGAACATTTTGAGTTCTTTTGTCATGATGCATGCCAAATTTAGGTTTCGGGTATTTTTGAAGAGATTTGCTCACTTTGGGTTTTAAGAATAATCTAGGTCATTATTTATCTTTTCAACAGAACAATGTGAGGACTTGATAAACTTCGTGCATCTAATAAGGGGGTTGTGGGTGTACTCAATTTATGGAACATTAGAACTTTGTATCTACATAGTATGATGTTTCCAAGGTCCTAATTATTTGCACGTATCTCGTTGTACTTTTGTTCATTTAGTTTGGTTTAAAATTTTGCCAGTGGGAGCAATGTCTTTCAACTTTTGGCACGGAGAGAGGTATCTACTCGGGCAAAACATTCTTCAAAAAAGTTATGGGGAGACACTTCTAAGCGTCATGTTGATTCCTTTGGGTTAAAATGTGAAGCAGCAAGAGATGCAAGACTTGGTCTTGTTTCATGGTAAGTAGTTACTTTTCTGTAATCTTCATGATATTATGTCCATGTTTGTGTGACCATGTGTGATTATATGTTCTTTTATTTTTTCACATGGTTGGATAAGAATAATAAGAATATAGCCATGAATCTTATTGATTCTTTTGACATGCTTTGTCATTGTATCAGGGTGGAGGCTGAGTCGTTGCGGCATTTGTCAGCCAAGTATTGTCCGTTGTTGCCTCCTCCTAGGTCAACTATTGCAGCAGCTTTCAGTCCTGATGGAAAAACACTTGCTTCGACACAGTATGTTCCTGTTCTTTCATTTTATTTTTTTGACACCAAGGGTTGATCAGCCATAGTTGACTTATGTAGAGTTATATGTATGCCAAGAATGACTTAATTTCTGAAATAATATTTTTGTTTCTGTGCTTGAAGTGGCGATCATACTGTAAAAACAATCGATTTTCAAACAGGGAGATGCTTAAAGGTGTTGAGTGGTCATCGGAGGACACCTTGGGTGGTAAGCCTGAATAAACTGTTCACTTATTCCCTTTCAGATCATTTGTTCGTTTTAAAATTTTTTGCTTAACTGCAACCTGTCTTAAGATAGTTTTTTAGCTGCCATGAGATGTAAGTAACTGTAAGTTAATAGTTTTATAGAAGAATGCTCTTTTGGAACAGCCCCCATGCCAATCATAAGAACCCACATTGGTGAAAAAAAAGGGTTGAAGAATATTTACTGTTAATGGAGCACTATTTTTGTGTTTCTGTAATTTGCGGCACATAACCTGTACTCTGTCTGCCATGTTGTGAGACTAGCATTAGATTGTTCAAGGTGATAAATAGGGTAATTGTTATTAGGTGGATTTGATTTCACTTGTAATAATTTGTTCAAGTTTGTATATAGCAAATACAAGAGTAACATTCAACATCTACATGGGTAGCTGAGTTGGTGTGAATATTCATAGCTTTGATAACCTATAATTATTCCTAGACTGCTAATCTTGGTATTGTTATTGCTTGACCATGATAGTTTGTGGCAGGTATTACAATTTAAAAGCATGTTGTGCAATTTGCTTCGTGTATCCAGAGGTTAGTCTCACCTCTAAAAACAGGTGTGGAGTTGGATACCCTATGACCCGAAAAATTAGAAAAGGAGAAACAAAATAACACTCCAACCTATTTCTAGAAGCTTTAATTGTCTCACCTCTTGTATTGTTGGCTTAGAAGTACTCTCTTGGTTATAATTAAATTATTATTATTATTTTTTTCCTACAGTTTTTGGAGTGTTTGAGTTTGAGCATTCTATTAGATGAGTCATTTCGTCTTTTCTCAAAAATTTGTCCATATTCATTTTGGCCAACTCTTGTTGCTCCCTCCGTGACTTGATGTAGATTTGCAACCTATCTGATCCTACACTTGCATAGGTTGCATCCGATCCCATACTCAACATGATGGCTTGCTTTGATACCAAATTGGGTAGAACTCACCCTTGAAAACCAGCTAGCAAGGGGAGTTAGGATTGTAACAATGGGCAAACATTATAAACAAATTGGATATGGGAACTGGACATAATGGTATTTGAGTTTAATTCCATGTAGGAATGTGCAATATTTGAATTATGCATGATAGGTTTGGATTTCCATCAATTTAATGACTACACCAATTCCATCAGTAATTTTGGATCAAATGATTATGTTCACATCTAATTTGTCAGACATAGTTTTTATCCGAGTCTTTTTACCTGTTCTAGCTTTTTTCAGTTTAAAGTGACATCATGTGATGAGTTAGGACATGTGTTCATGTTACACTGATAGTGTCTTGTTATCTTTGTTGTTTATCTATGTTAAATCTCTAATATTGCTTACTTATTTATTTTGTTTATCTATTTGTTTGGTGTTAGTGCTTGCAGCTTTTAGCAATATCATTAGAACCTTGCTGTTCTAGCTATATTCCTCTAACCCTATTGATATGTAGTTGTTCACAGGTATTCATTGCAATCTTATATCCTGTGTGGAACCTTTGCAGGTTAGGTTTCACCCGTTATATCCTGAAATTATAGCAAGTGGAAGTTTAGATCATGAAGTTCGCTTATGGGATGCAAATACTGCAGAATGCATAGGATCACGTGATTTTTGTAATTACTTTTCTGCATTTATGTCAACTTTTAAAATTTGAGCATCTTTTATGCCCAGCCTATGTACAGTAGATCTGAATTGTCAATTTTGTTCCTCCATGCAGACCGTCCCATAGCATCTATTGCTTTCCATGCCCAAGGGGATCTTTTGGCTGTAGCTTCAGGCCACAAGGTGAGAATCTAGGCTCAAGAGCATTTCATATAGTTTATATTGGACATTTCATGATGAATTATCTTGGAATCTGTGTTAGCTATATATATGGCACTACAACAGGAGAGGGGACACTTCTTCACCAACCATCGTACTGAAGACACGCCGTTCGCTTCGGGCAGTGCATTTTCATCCACATGCTGCCCCATTTCTGTTAACTGCCGAGGTAATTCACATTGTTAAAATTATATTTTCGTATTCCAGTTTCGTTCATCCTACTATTATGCGGATTTGCAGGTCAATGATCTGGACTCATCAGATTCCCCAATGACACTCGCAACTTCTCCGGGTTATTTGTGCTATCCTCCCCCTACTATGTATTTGGCAGATGCTCATTCTGGTGGTCGTTCTAACTTGGCAAATGAACTGCCTCTTGTGTCTTTACCATTTTTGATTTGGCCTTCTATTGGTAGAGATGATGAGAGAATAACTTTGCAGCATACTAATAGGGATGTTGATTCAACTAGTGCAGCACATAGAGTGGAGGCTTCTGCTTCAGTGCAGCTTCTCACATATTCAACTCCGTCAGGGCAGTATGAACTTCTGTTGTCTCCTATTGAACCTAGTACCTCTCCTGTACCAGAAGAACACATGGAAAATGCTGGTCCTCAGCCTGCAACGGATTCTATGGAAACTGCTGAAGTGCAACCTGAAGAAAGAAGTAATCAATTTTTTCCTTTTGGGGACCCAAGATATTGGGAATTACCGTTCTTGCAGGGGTGGTTGATTGGCCAAAGCCAAGCTGGCCAACGAACACTAAGTTCTCTTAATGGTGGTGCTCATGAAAATTCATCTTCATTTAGAGAGACGCAAAATTCTGCTGCAGCGGTTCCCTCAGTAATCCCTCTCAGTGTTGGTCATTCTAGAGTTACCGGAAGATCTAGTTCTCGTCACCGTTCTGCACACTCTCGCATGATGTCTGCTACTGGATCTAGTGAAGGTGCTATTTCTAATAACATCACACATGATGAGAGTGATCATCAACCTTTTGTTAGCCGGATCCAATCCGATCTTGCAACATCATTAGCTGCTGCAGCCACTGCGGAGTTACCTTGCACTGTGAAGCTTAGAATTTGGGCGCATGATATTAAAGATCCTTCTTCCCCTCTTGATGTTGGAAGATGTCGTTTAACCATACCACATGCTGTACTTTGTAGGTATAGTTTTTGTTCTTTGTTAAATTTGTGGCAGTTTTCCTGTAGTCTCAAATTTTTAATATTACTAAGCTTAGTATTAGTTGTCACATACAATGGAAAGCACATGCATTCGAATTTAATTACTACTCCCAGTTTTGTGAGTAGTAGTCTCACAATGGAAAGCTTGGTATTAGTAGTCACACATAGATGATGTTGAACTTCTCCGGCTATTTTATCACTGTCAAGTAACAGAAGAAACTGCATATTATGTTAATTAAAGCTCTTTGAAAGCTTATTTGTAATAATTTGTTTGCAGCGAAATGGGCGCCCATTTTTCACCTTGTGGAAGATTTCTAGCGGCCTGTGTTGCATGTGTGCTGCCTCATCTGGAATCTGATACTGGTTTACACAGCCAGGTCCACCATGATGCTGCTGGGGTTTCGACATCACCAACACGACACCCCATTTCAGCCCATCAAGTCATATATGAACTTCGGATATATTCCCTCGAGGAAGCAACGTAAGCTTAAACCTATTATAACTCCACACTTAATCATATATTTTTCAGTTCTCATTTATGATTTATGCTTGTTTGTAATATAATTTCCTTTTCATGTACCTAGTTTCGGATTGGTACTTGCATCGCGAGCAATCAGAGCTGCTCATTGTTTAACTTCTATACAGGTGAGTTTCTATATATATATATAATTTTTTTTGTGTATCATTGCTCTATGATGCCATCTCAAATCTCGGGACGTAGAAATAGGATTGTTGCTCCACGGAAAGAATACAACTACCACTAAATTGTGATGGGATCTGTGAAGTATCAGACAAGATGATACAATAATCACAAAATTACAATAGTAGTCTTATTTCAAATAACAATAATAACTAACAAGATAACAAGTTTCTTAGCGGTGCTCTATATTGTTATTGGTTTTATGGATATTATACAATATGTGTTCCATATGATGTGGATAAACTAGTTAATAATCTTATTGGAATTTTTTTTGTTGGATTGTGCATTTATTTTTTGTTTTACAGTTCTCTCCCACGTCAGAGCACTTGTTACTAGCTTACGGCCGTCGCCATAGTTCACTTCTTAAGAGTGTTGTGATTGATGGAGAGACAACAATCCCAATTTATACCATTCTGGAGGTAATCTCTCTCTCTCTCTCTCTCTCTCTCTCTCTCTGTGTTGGTGTTGGTGTTGGTGTCCTGATTTTTTTGAAATGAGTGTCTCACATTCGTATTTGTGTTCGTATCCTTATCCGTATCCGTGCTTCATAGATTTAGACTGTAGTAAAAAGTGTGATTTGGATTTTTATAAAAAATAAAAAAAGGTGATTTTCGTGAAAAAAAATCCAAGGGTTGCCCTCCTGGTGCAAATGATCCATCCGATGTGTTTATCGTATCTTGTAATCTCAATATATGAACTGGATGCAGCAAAGGATAGAGTGGTAGTAATGCCACCCAAAACATTATTTAATTTTTTAGTTTTTTTGTTTATCAGCATCTGCAGTTCCTCAAAATCTATTTTTTGTCACTCAGGTCTACAGAGTTTCTGATATGGAACTTGTGAGAGTTCTTCCTAGTGCAGAGGATGAGGTCAATGTAGCTTGTTTCCATCCTTCAGTTGGTAGTGGCCTTGTCTATGGAACCAAGGTGAACCAACTGAAATTTGTTATAAATTTATGTAGTTGGTTTCTAGAGATATTTTTTTACTCAAAATTGTCTTTTTAACAAAATGCAGGAAGGGAAGCTCAGGATCCTTCAATATGAAACTTCTCGTAGCGATAATTGCACATCATCTGGTGTTCTTGATGAACATATGCTAGAGGTATAACAAAGCCCAAATCTATAACTAATTTTTTTTTAACTTTTTCATTCCATTTTGAATTTTTGTTAGTTATTTAACAAAAATTCAAAACAGTGTAAAAAGTTAAAAACAGAAGAGACAAGTGTCATTCGCAACCCCATTCTATATAAATGCACTCCTTATAGTCTTTAATATAAAAAAATTACACATAATACCACTCCCAATGCACACAAAATGACAAAATTTTGAATAAAAATATAAAGAAGGGGAGTGTGAAAAGTAGTCCGTCCAAACTATCAACCTCAAGGTTGTGGGTTTGAACCTTAGAGTAGCCACTTTGTGCAAATAATGCCAAAGGTTAGGTCTGTACCCAATCTACTACTTTGGACCCCAGTGGGACTAAACTTGGTGCACTTTTCTAATTTATTACTATCATTAATATTGATGATGCTATGCTTTGTGTTTGTGTGTGTGTGTTCCTCCCTAGCCCTATTCTTCCTAGTTTTGTCTCAGTGGTCAAGTGCACAACTTTGTACCACTTTTGTGCCTAGTTATGCTTTAGACAGTTGCCTGTATGTAAATTTAGAACATCTTGGTATTATCTTTCTGTCTGCGTATTAGTTTATGGGCAAGGTGCCGACTTATGATTGTAACAGTTATTTTGTTCTAGTCACTTGTAATTCCAACTCAGCGTTTTTTTTTCTCTTTTCCTCCTTTTCTCCCTGTAGGTCCCAACATATGCTTTAGAATGCTAGTAACAACTAATTGGCGCCAATACATGAGATGTACAACTAAGTTTGGATGGTATGTTTCTCTTTCCAATAGTTCCTTTGATATGTTGACAGTTCCTTTCTTCAGTCATATATGTTTTGTTTTGTATTATTTGATGTGCCATATTCCTTGGTTATATTAAGCTTATATGCAATATCAATTAAGTATATGAATGATGTAGCATACATGAGGTTTCATGGTTCCCTTTGGGGCTGCATATATATAAACTGAGCTGTGTATGAATAGTCAGGTTTGGTTTAGGAAGTGACACGTCCTAACTTGATCAGTTTAGTATAGTTCTGTGAAGAAAGCATGTATGAATAGTTTGGGGTTCATTTGTCTTGCTGGCCACATGGGGAATTACAGCCCAAGAATTCGTGAGTTGGTTTGTTTAGGTACACAGCCTAAGCAGCACAAACACATGAGACAACACTGACACGACGACACAATATTTTTTTTAAAATGTAGGACATGACACATGGGAGACATGCACAAGATATATAATTTTATATAGTTATTATATGTCCTATATATGAATATACCATTCGAAGATAGTAAAAAAATGCAACATAATACTAATTCTTATAAATCTACATTGTTTTTGTTTTATCATTATACCCGAAGTAATTTTATTCAAACTTACAATTAGTTTCATGTGTGTCTAAGCAATTGTCACATGTGTCCTCCAAGTATCCAAAGCGCAGGTCTTAAAAAAAAAAGTCATGTTTGGATGAGTGTCCAACACGTGTTTTTAAGTGTCCGATGAATATCGATGTCTGATACAGACATGATATGGACATGACACCTTAGAAGTGTTCATGCTTCTTAGGGAAACAGCTAGGGGGGGATTAAAGAGGATATCAAGATCGCAAATGCCTTGGTGAGAAAATCCAGTTGGTGAATAGGGATAGTTGATCTTGGACTTGCTGGTGTAAAAGAAGTTTTGTGAGTTTCTTTTTTATATAGTTTCTACCTTTTATGAAGCATATTTCCATATTGAAAAATGCAATTGTATTCGCCAATTTTTACCATAGACTCTTTGCTTCTTATTTTGCTCATTTTTCTTTTCTCAATGTATTAATTTATGAATATTTATCTGTGGTTTCAGTTTTTTGATTGCATGCCATGCTCAACGGTGATATCAATTCATACTGATGGGGGATTTGTTGCTATCGCATCCATAGCATAATAAATCCAAAATCACAAGTGCTTCCTTGTTTGTTTAGATGCTTTATAGGTTCCTGATTGGTGCTACAATCAGTGCTTGTATCTCTTGCAAGGCGTTCTTAGAGTTGTATGTTGTATACATTAGTAGGAAGTACCTTGAGCTAAAATATTGAGTTAATTTGCAAAGCGATGGGTTTGCGGCAAAGCAGGTTGCTCAAATTATGCACAACTTTTTAGGAGATGTCTGATTGAAGGGGGAAAGACTGGATGCAAAAACCAGATGCTGACTTTCAAAATTGTGTTCTGTTAAAAAAAATATATTAAAGAAAAAGACTTTCAAAATTGTGAGAAATGGATTGATATTATTGTACCTCTTGTAAGGTAGACTTGTTTGTAAGGAATGTGATTTGTACATTAGAACTTGATTTCCAAAAGATAGAAAATAAAAATAAACATTTTGCTATCTCGCACTGGAGTATTTGCTTTTCTTCCGTTTGGGTTTCATTTGTTAGTTGAATCATAGACTGATTAATATTGAAATAAAAATATTATATAGTTTTTCTTTGTGAATAAATTATATGAAATCTTGATTCAAAATCAAGCCAAATTGTATTTAAATGGTTTGATTCAAATTGATTTAGTTTTAATTTTTATAAAATCATAGGTAATAAATTAATTTTGATTTTATCCAAATTGAATTAATCGAAATCATGCTTACCCCTAGTTTTTACTGAGATAAATTGGACTATCCTAATTTTTGGGAACTAGTGAATAAACTTATTAGCCAAGTTTGAGAGGAATGTCGATTTTAGCAACAGTGGTGTTACGTATGTACGCATATTAAAGGATGTTTTGGGAATATTTAGAGATGTTTTGAAAAGTTAATAAAAAATTAATTTTTTTAATTTATTGTGACTTTTTGTGGATAAATTATGTAAAAGTTGATGTGATTCAAAATAAATAAAAAATTAAAAGATGACTTTTTACTAACTTGTTAAAAGACTCCTTGGTATTGTTTGTGTTAATTCTCAAAAATTGAAATGCATTTAAATTTTTGAAAACATTTTCACATAATTGAAAACGATATGAATAAGAGGGTGTTTTTTTCTTCCCATTATTTTTATTTTTGAAATGCATTTAAATTTTTGAAAACATTTTCACATAATTGAAAACGATATGAATAAGAGGGTGTTTTTTTCTTCCCATTATTTTTATTTTTGAAATGCATTTAAATTTTTGAAAACATTTTCACATAATTGAAAACGATATGAATAAGAGGGTGTTTTTTTCTTCCCATTATTTTTATTTTTGAAATGCATTTAAATTTTTGAAAACATTTTCACATAATTGAAAACGATATGAATAAGAGGGTGTTTTTTTCTTCCCATTATTTTTATTTTTGAAATGCATTTAAATTTTTGAAAACATTTTCACATAATTGAAAAAAAAAGAGATAGATATATAGAGATAGAGATAAAAGAAAGAAAGGGGGAACAACATGATGTCGTTGGGGAGTGTGGGGAAGGATGGTGTGCATTGGGTGGGTCACATGGGAGAGAGAAAGAAAAGAGAGACATGTACAAAGCAATTGGTGGGTCGTGGGCGGTGCAAAAGATGGAATAAAAGAATAAAAAAAAGGAAAAAGAAAGGTGAGTGGGCTCTTCCTCGGTAAACCGTGTGTGTGTGAAGGCGCTAACCCAAAACTGCCGAGAGAGGGAGAGAACCCGAGAGCAGAGGCAGTATGCATGTGTCTGGTTGTCTTGTTGCCGTGTGTGTCTGTGTGAGAGTTGTCAATGGTGTGCATGTGTTGTGTGTGTGCCGTTGATTGAGATGCTGAAATCTGAGCTGCAACAGATAAAAAGGTTGATGAAATCTCAGGAAATCTAGGAAAAGCAAGGGCGTCCTTTCGCACTCTCTTCAGAGACTTCCCATAATCGCCAGCGTTATGCTGCAAAAGGTGATGATGTGGAAAAGCTGCGCATGTTTGCCACACCGCGTATGGACGCATACCTTGAGCAAGCCAAGTCATTTGACGAGGATCCCAGCAAAACACTGCCCTCTGGGGAACTGACTTTTTTTCGGAAGTGGAAAAAAGGTTCGGTGTCGTCGATGGAGATGGGGAGGCCGCTGGGTTGTAAGACATGTTTTGCAGTTGCATGGTTGACGGGGAGGCTAATGGGCTGTATTGCATGGGTTGTTGCATCGTTGATGGGGAAGCCACTGGGCTGCATGGTATGCATAACTAGCAGATGGCATCACTCACCGGCGACGGAAGCGGCCGCGGAGGACCGAAACTGGGAGGTATGGTTATTTTTATTTTTGAAATGCATTTAAATTTTTGAAAACATTTTCACATAATTGAAAACGATATGAATAAGAGGGTGTTTTTTTCTTCCCATTATTTTTATTTTTGAAGTACAAGAATAAAATGAAAAAATATGCAATGCATTTGGGTAAGTAGATGTAACTGTGGATGAATAGTGTATTTATGTAGTGAAAATCGAATTGGTACATTGTGAAGTCGAAATATAAATAAATATGACCCATAAATTGATATTTATAGGTAAAATTCAGAGTAAAATTTCTGGTTCAAAAGTAATTGGAAATGCTCAAAACCTCAAACCCAACCCCAATTGAATGTGTAAGATAAATTGATAGAGAGAGATACAGAGAGAATGAATTATGTATTGATTTATTTATGTATTGAATGTTATTGATAGATATTACAAAGGTTCAGTTGAACTCCTCTATATAGGAGAGGAGCCGAAAGTTGCACTAATAAAATAAAGTAAAGGAAAAGAAATATACCCTACTAACAGCTGATATACACTAACATAGAATAATATACTAACAGAATGTTTCATGGTTTTCTTCTCCATTTACATTTACAGTCAAAACCCCCCAAACCCCAATAACCAAACAAATCTAAAAAAACATGGAAACATCATCAGAAAAATGAAAAACGAAAGAAGCCAATACAAAAGAAACCATAAATACATACATAATCCATTCATTCATCCAACCATACATATATGCATACGTACATACAGAGTAGTGTATACATATATTGATATACTAAAGAGAACATTCCTCGTCAGTCCATCAAAATCAGCATGCGAAAAACAAACGCACAAAAAAGAAAAGAAAAGGGCAGCCTTATAGTAAAATAAAAACCTTAGCATTGATTTAAAATTTATTTTGGAAACATGGACTGAATTGCAATTTCCTCTGCACGTAATTGGCCGCGGAGGATGACGAGGGTGGCGCGGATGCAAGCCAAGGTGACGTCATCGACGTCGTCATCGGAGTCGGAGTCGGAGTCGAGGTACATGGCATTGGTGGATCCCTGGTCCTCCTCTTTTGCCTTCATCTTTTCTGATCCTCTTTCTGGTTTGGTTAACCACTTCCTTCTCATCAGATGATGTTTCTTGCATATACATTATATATAATGGGTATACAAGAATTGTGCGACACGCTAAATGTAACTTTTTCAAAAACAACCACCAAAATTTTGAAAAAATTGGATACATTTAAAAAAACAATTAGGCCCCATTTGAGAATATATTATTTTAATTATTTTTAAAAAAAATTAAATTAAAATATAAGGTAGAAAAATTAATATATTTCTGATAAAAAAAAAACGTATAAAAATAGAGAGAGAATAAAATTTTTATTTTTTTTATAATTTATTGATTTTTTGACTTACAAGCTAAAATAGATAATTGCCAGCCAAAAAACTTATCTCTTATTTTTTTGCATGTTCTTTGGTAAAAAATTTCCAAACAAGTAGAATACTAGTAAGTGATAGACAAATAACTATTGGCCACATTTATTTTTAGAGATAGAATGAAGGGGGTTTATAGTGAAGGAATTAATAGTGAGAGCATTGTTAGTGAAGGGATTGATAGTGAAGGGATTAAGTAAAATTGTGTTTGTTTTGATGATAGTTGTTAGTGTAAGAATTGTTAAATTATTTTTATATAAACTAATAAAACAAATTAAAAAATATAAAAAATTAAACATTAATATTTTAAAAAAAATTTCCAATATATAAAAAATATAAAATTTCTAATCCCCTCACTATTTTTCTAATACCATCTCCACCTCCTCCATCTCAATCCCCCAACTAACCTCCATCTATATCACCTCCTCCATCCTAATCCCCTCCCCAACTCTACAAACAAACACAACACTAAATAACCCCACCTCCATCCTAATTCCCTCCCATCTATTTAATCCCAAAACTAACCTCCATCTATATCACCTCCTCCATCCTAATCCCCTCCCCAACTCTACAAACAAACACAACACTAAATAACCCCACCTCCATCCTAATTCCCTCCCATCTATTTAATCCCAAAACAAATGATGTGTTTCATATGCAAGTGATGACGTGAGTTTGATTATTATAAATATTATAACTCAATTTTATGGAATCATAATTTATAAAATAAAATATAAAAATTATAACTAAATATTATATAAAGTATAACCATAATTTTTTTTTATCATAACTAAAATAATATTATAACCATTATCACAATAAATCATAATTGATATAATAATAAGTCATAACACATATCATAATTAGAATACATACACACTCTTTTGAGATATGCCATAGAATTTGCCGCCATAGACATATTTAGAGGTTGTTTGGGATGTCCTAAATAAGTACATTTTTTTTACCAAAAAATAGAAGAAAAAAAGATGATTGTTTAGGATAACTTTTTGACTTTTTATGAAAAATGTATATTAAAAAATTGTATAAATTAGTGTATAGGAGAAGATTGAGATAAAATAGGCTGTATGGTGGGATAATTAAGGGACAGCGTATGCAGAGTATAGGTTAAGAGATGGTTCCCTCCTTTTCGGGGCTTTGAATTAGACGGTGTTGTTTGGCCCTTGGGGGTCCACCACGGGTCCCATTTTGCTAATCGGAACCGTTCAATGTGTAGAACTCGTTGAGTACTACTTGTTTGTAATAACACACATTGATCAGATATCGATAGTTATCTGATCGGATTAGTTTTTTTTTCTAACCGTTAACTATAACACCATCCATATTTTATGGAAAATTGATTTGATCATGTAATTAACGATATTCAATCAACGTGATTTTTTACAAGCATGTAGTATTCGACGAGTTCTACACATTAACGGTTCAGATTATCAAAATGGGACCCGTGATGGGCTTTCACGGGCCGAACAACACCATGTTGTTTGTGCACCCCACCTGTGCAATTTTTCCAAAAAAGTCAGCTGTCTGTGAGGACGTCAGAGTTGTTTATAATAATTTTGTGTGAAATTAATTTTTTTATATTTTTTTTGGTAAATAGTGATGACTTTTTAACTTTTTTAGTAACTTTTTAGCTTTTTAAATTTTTTTGGATATCCCAAACCAGGCCTTAATATGGGGAAAATATTGAATCATCTCTCTTCCATTGCCACACTATCACATCACTAAAGTTAAATTTTAGTAAGAGCATTCACAGTGAATGCGTTAAAAATGTGTTAAAGTGTGTTAAGAATTTATTAATTTTAAAGAGTAGTGGTGGTGTAATATGGGTGTGTTTGTTTGGACAAACTGGATAATGGAAGATTGTAATTCATCGGACTATTAGTCCTGAGATACATTGTCCTCGGACTATTTGGTTAGACTAGATTTGTATCTTATGTTTGTTTAGTCATGAGATTAGATGTCTAGATTGAACTATTTTTAGTGAATCTAATGTTTGTTTGGGATATTATGGAAAAAGATAAATGCTCAAATGACTATTTTATCCTTTTCAATTATTTACTAAGTAATAGCAATATTAAACATAGCTTTAATATTTTAATTGCTTTTAGCTAGATTAAATAAAAATTTATTTTATTTTATTTTTTGCACAATTAAATAAATTTATTTTTAAAAAATTAAAAAATTAAATATAAATATATGTTATTTTTTAATTAAAATTTTAAATAAATTTATTTTAAATAGTAATAATAATTAAATAATGAAATTAAATAAAACATCTATTAAAATTTAAATAATGAAATTAAGTAAAATATAAACAAAATTTTAAAATAAAACATCAATAAAATATCTATAAAAAAATATTTAAAATAAATAAATAAATAAAACAAAAATAAAAATAAAAATTAAATAAAAATATTTTATTTTTAAATTGGGACATTTAAATTTTTTTGAATTTTATTAAATATAATACATAATTAAATACTAGAGGGCAAAAATGTAATTTCATTGTCTAATCCCATGTGATGAGTTATCCCATAGTTTCTATCCCCACCCCTCCATGGGATAGGATAGTCCCACAAATATGGGACTAATAGTCTGAGGGGACTATTAGTCCGGAACAAAACTTTTGAAACAAACAATGGACTATTAGTCCGGTGGGATTAATAGTTCAATCTCATACCCCAATCCTTCAAAACAAACACACCCTGTATGTATTAATGTGTGTGTTAAGAATATGTATATATGTATATATATAAACAATAAATAAAATAAATAATAGTTAAAAAGTGCAATGAACCCTACTCTACTGCACTATGTTAGCAAGCGTCCCCCCTCTTTTTCTCTTTTCTCTCTCTCAGTTTTTTTTTTTTTGGATCATATCTCTCTTTCTCTCAATTGGCTAAAAAGATTGCTAACTGTGGTTAGGAGTGTAATTTTGGTCCATGGCCCGTGGGCGGCCCAAAGCCCGCGCCGTAACCCAAGGTGGGCCTAGCTCATTAAGGCCCATTTAGGCCAGAGCCCAAGCCCAACCTGAGGCCTTGGGCCAGGGCCTAGGCCATTGTTTTGAAGCCCAGTCCGGCTCGCTTGGCTCGCCCAAAAGCCCGGCCCGAGGCTCGGCCTGCCCGGGCCACCCGATGTCCAGTGTTATTTTTAATGGAATATAATAAAATTTTGGTGGAAAAAATTAAAAAATTATTTTGGCCCGCCCAAAGCCCGAGCCCAGGGGCCTGGCTCAAAGCCCGAATACCCCTGGGCCTGGGCTAGGGCCTAGGCCTAGTTTTTTGGCTCGTGGACCAGCCCGACCCATTTTTTTTGGCGAGAACCCGCAAGGCCCGACATGAGCCGGGCTGGGCCGGGCCAAAATTACACCCTTATCTGTGGCCAGCTTCTTGGCATCTACCATGTTTAATGGGTATGTTAACACTTTCATTGCAATCAACACAAACAGTGATTTTCAGCGGGCTAGAATGGAAACTGCGTGAGATTCCCTTTTTGAAGGACTCCCACAATTCTTAAAGTGATCCACACCACTCATAATGTGTCGGGTCCATTCATATATATATGTAGGGCCCACATCATGAGTGGTGTAGATCACTTTGGAGGTTGTGGGGGTCCTCCAAAAAGGGGGTCTCTATCATTGTTGGGCTAGAATTTAGTCTCTGACACTAAGACACTGCTTAACACATCCACTATAGATGCCCTTAAAGAAGATTTCTGACCTTTCTTGTTTGGCTTGATGGTTTTGTCATCTCTAATTTAGACTTATATCTTTCATCAAATTTGAATTTGATAAAAATTTAGTAAAAATAATGTTTCAATCGGTTCACCAAATTAATATCGCATGAAGGGAACTATACATTTTCATCAAATCAAGGGAGCGTTTAACAACCCCGTTTGGTAGAGCTGTAAAAAAGTGATTATAGATTATAACTTAACAGATTATGACTTATAGCTGTGAACATAAACTGTTAACTTGTTTGGTGTAGTTGTGGAATTATGGATTTAAGCAGTTAAGTAGTGTTTGGTTAATAAGCTGTAAATAATTTTTTTATTATATAATTGTCTTTTTTGCCCTTATATGATATAAAAATGATTATTTTGTCATTTTTTTTTCAATTTTAATTTAAAAAAATTATTTCATTAATAAAATTTAATATAATTAGTATTACAAAAATTATCATCTCATTAATAGTATCAATTAGTATAAAATTATTTCATTTTTTCATTATAAATTAATTAGTGTCAATTAATGGCTTAATTAGCATCAATTAATACTAAAATTATGAATAGTATCAATTAATATAAAATTATTTCATTTTTTCATTATAAATTAATTATTGACAATTAATGGCTTAATAAGCATCAATTAATACTAAAATTATTAATAGTATCAATTAGTATAAAATTATTTCATTATAAATTAATCAGTGTCAATTAATGGCTTAATTAGCATCAATTAATACTAAAATTATTAATAGTATCAATTAGTATAAAATTATTTCATTTTTTCATTCCGGTGGTGCTACATGCACCAATTAGTGTACTAACTAGTGTACCAACACGAGTTACGATATTATTATTGGCTTCACTCATTAATTACATTACGAATCTCAAAAATCTCTTAAATTATACAACATCATCAATTGTTACACTAATTAGTATATTAATTGGTACATGTAGCATTATTCTTTTCCTTATAAAGTAATTAATGGCAATTAATAGCTTAATAAGCATCAACTAATACTAAAATTATTAATAGTATCAATTAGTATAAAATTATTTCATTATAAATTAATTAGTATCAATTAATGGCTTAATTAACATCAGTTAATACTAAAATTATCAATAGTACCAACCGACCAGATTTGATGAAATGATTGGAACGCATCATATCAGATCAAAGGTTTACTCAGATTTAATGAAAAATTTGAATAAGTATTGGAGATGCTCTTAGAAATGAGAAAGTGAGACAAAACAAGTTTTGCTTCTCGGCTCCATTCTTCTTAATCTTTAATCCTATTTCAATTATATTTATTAAATACATTCATATATATAATATAATTTTATTATAATAAAATTAACACAAATATTACATTTAACATTCATTTTCACTTATTTACTTCTCATATTATATTTTTTATTTGTCATTAATTATAAATTATTATCCATAATATATTATATTAATTTTTATTTAACCCACCACAAGACAGGTAACTACAAACTTGCCTTGTAGCCATCCACACTTCCAGACATCTTCCTATCAATGCCTAGCTATGCATTGATTAGTATGATTGGTAGAGAAGGTAAAATATTATGATTTTATGTTGAATGATTAAAAAATATAAGAAAACATAATAAATGGTGATTGATGATATAGCATGATCACATAGTACTCCGAGAGTATCTAATAATTTTCCATGCCTACTAGCAAAAGATCCAAAAGTTTTTCTCATGGTACTAGCACTTCCCATTGGGCAGTTAGCACTTAAGAAGTTGCGCATTCAAGAAGTTGTGCACTTAATCTTGCATAACCCCAAACCCAAGTTCAAGGGACCTTGTTTTGGGAACCAACTTTTTTAGTAACTTTTGACTAAAATATAATATTAAAAAAAAATAGTATGTTTAGGATGAATTTTTGACTTTTTACAAAAAAATGTGAAAAGAAATAATATAAATAATTAAAAGTGGGTAATTTGACAAAAATGTGATAGACGGCAACCTGATGCCAAGGCTACACGGCCGTTGCCTAGTATATATAAAACAATATAATATATTTGAAAACATATAAAACAATATAATATATTTGTAAATATCAACGCATATTGTAGGTTGCTGCCTAGTACAACAAGCATCAAGACACTGTTGCCTAGTACACTGTGATAGTACACTGTTGCTTAGTACCCTGTCACTATGCATAGGTTTATAAGATAAAAATTGTAAGTTTTTTTATTTTTTTGGTGACTTTTTAATTTTTAAACTAAAATCACTACTTATTAAACGTGGCCTTAGTCTACACCCTAGTTATAGGCTTTATGAAAAGTCTTCTATAAAAGTAAATACAAAAAGACAAAATAGTTAAAGGAAAAACTATAATTATTTGCTCTGTGCTACAATTTTTACAATTATATACACTGATACACACTGTCTACCCTCTCCAGTTTTCAAAGAGATAGACTGTTATAGATAAGCTTTGGCTGAGCTGATTTGTCATGTAGCGTCGGCTGAAAGGATGTGGCTGATCACTTTCCGCCTAATAATGCAGGTTGCTCCACGTGTCCTGGATAAGGCTGGAGTAGATCAGGGGACAACTGCATTTGATAGTGGGGTCCATTATGCTTCCATCTTGTTGATGAGATTGTGATATTCTTCATCAGTCTCTGATGGAGGGGAATCCGGATCTTGGCTGTATTGCTCATTCCAGGAATGTTCTATATCATCCGCGGTCATGGCTAGTTCCAACGAAAGATCCAAATTATTTCTCTTTTTGAGATTTATTAACATGTCAAGAGCCTCATTAATTTGTGTAGGAGATTTTTGATATGTTATGGGAAAATGGGTTACAAATAATATTCTACCATCTATAACCATGAATGACAATTTTGCTGAGCCATGGATGTTGGACGCTGCTTGTGAAACATATATTAGACTGTCTATCCAATATTCTGTCAAAGAAAGTTTTTGGATATTTTCCAATTGCTCTCTCTGGTGATCTTTATCTAAATAATCATCTTCAAATTCAAAATCTTCAGTTTCTTTAAGATACCAAATCTGGTATGGTTGGAAAAAAATGTTCTCGTTCTCGCCAACCCACAGTGCTGGAGATCCAGAAAGTAAAATATTTGCTTCATCGAAAGCCTTTTACTATCCATGAGAGCATTGTTTTGATAATCATTGGATAATCTATCCATTGGATTGGATCTAAAATTTGAAAAATAACTTGATTAGTTATTCCCCAATCTATATCCTCAAAAAACCACATGTCATGGTTTGTCATGATGGTTATTTTGGGAATTCCATCTTTCAAATTTAATTTATCATAAGATCGTTCTAAGATTTGTCTAATCTTATCATGATGATCTTTAACCCGATTTTTGATTAACATAAAAATTTCTTTTGGAAGCAAAGTTCTTGCTTTTTCAAAACGACAAATACTTTTTATTCTATTGTTATTTGGGCGTTTGGTTATGTACGAGAATTGGATTACCCTATTAAGATGTCAACTTTTTAGTTTATTAAGTCATTTTGTTTATATAATTTCCCTTGAGACTTAAAAAAAATTTGGGGCGTCACACCCACTAACAATGGCAATAAGGTAAATAAGGCAACTATTGCAATTAACTCATTTTTAATCTAATTTAATCATACCTAATCAGTTTTCAGGTAAGTATACCATAAATTCACATTAATTATGTTGATCATAAAACATCAATCAATTTCTAATTCGGCCGCCGATAAGGCCTTCAGTTAGCAGTTTAAACATATAAGCATGAACAGATATTCATACAGTCAAACAGATAGAATGCAATTTAACTAACATATACTCAATCAATTTGGTTTCCAATTTCAGTCAGTCAGTTCAGTACTTTTACCAGTCCAATTATCAGTCATAATCAATTCAGTTTTAACGGTAATCAATCAGTCATTAATCGGTAAACAGTATGAGGGCTGTTACAGGTTATGCTATCATATGCTTTAAAGCTTGCTCCTGAGTATCCACAATCTTGTATTTTGCAATCATTCCATTCTGTGTAAATTTCAGGTTATCTTCCTGCAAACACAACATAAACTTTTTCTTCTCTGGATATTGCTTTTTTAGCAATTGTCACCCAATCTCCTTGAGCGGGTTGTTTACCCTTATCCATTGTTTCCTCTTGGTTTAGAGGTCTTCTGCAAAAAATAAATTTACTTGTTTAGCAATTTAATTTTTTGAAATAATTTTTGCTAAGAAAATCTGCAAGAAAATTGTTAGTACCTTTAAGATGTTCTACTTCATCTTCCTGCAAACACAACATAAACTTTTTCTTCTCTGGATATTGCTTTTTTAGCAATTGTCACCCAATCTCCTTGAGCGGGTTGTTTACCCTTATCCATTGTTTCCTCTTGATTTAGAGGTCTTCTGCAAAAATTAAATTTACTTGTTTAGCAATTTAATTTTTTGAAATAATTTCTGCTAAGAAAATCTGCAAGAAAATTGTTAGTACCTTTAAGATGTTCTACTTCAAAAGTATATTCAGAAATTTTATTATATCAGGCTAATTTTCTCCCTTACTCAATAGGTTTTTTATTGATCAAGAAATCTCTTACTGCCTTATTATCAGTGCGTACAATAAAATTTTCTGGGGCTAAATCAATATAAAAGCTTTTTATTGCCAATTTATTGCAAGTAATTTTTTTTCAAAAATAATATATTTCTGTACATGTGGTTTAAATGTTCCAGAATTTTATCCGCAAATTAATTCTTCTTTTTGTAATTTTATGGGTATTGAATTTTTTTTTTGGTCTAATCCCATTTTCTAATAAAGGTATCTCTTTATCATACTATAAATTACTTGGTATTGCTTTAAGAACACATCTCCAGCATGCTTCTGAGGCATCTGTTTCTAAAATTAATTTATCATCTGTTTTAGGAAGATAAATATCTGGTAAAGTTTTAACATTTTCTTTAATTTGTTTAATTAAAGCAACATCTTCTGCTGTCCATTCAAAAATAACATTTTTCCTTAATTTGGTTAACCAAGGAATTTCTATTTTTGAAAGATTTTTGATAAAATTTCGTCCATAATTTAAAATGCCTAATAAACTCTGTAATTGTGTTATATTTTCGAGAGTATCAGAAAAATCTCGTACTTTGGATAAAATATGTTCTTGTAATTTTAGACCACCCTTTCTGGTGTAAAATTATTCCCAAAAATTCAATTGATTCTTTTTCTAGTTCAATTTTTTTGGAGACAAAATAATTCCATGTTTTTGAAATTTTTCACAAAGTAATTTTAAAATGTTTCTTATGCTCCTCCTTAGTTTTAGAGAAGATAAGTATATCATCAATATAAACTACACAACAATCCTTAAGATCTTTAAAAATTGTATCCATCCACCGTTGAAATACTTGTGGTGCTATATTTAATCCAAAGAACATAACATTCCAGTAGTAATGTCCTCTAGGTGTACTAAAAGCTGTCAATTTTTTTGATTCTTCAGTCTATTGAATTTGCCAAAATCCATTTTTACAATCAAATTTGCTATAGATTTTTCATCTTTTGGTTAAGTTAATCAAAACATCTTTTCGTGGAATAAAATATCCATCAAATTCTAAATTTTCATTTAGCCGTTTATAGTTGACTACCATTCGGGCTTTTCCTCTTTTAATTTCAGCATGGCTTCTTACCATAAAAGTTGGACCAGAGTGAGGGCTTTTAGTTTCTTCAATTAACTTTTTGTCTAAAAGTTCCTGGAGTTGAATATCAAATTCATCTATATCTTGTCTAGTATAGATCATTGGTCTTACTTTAATGATAACATTAGGGTCTTTCAATTTTAAACTACAATAACGTGGACTACGTTGCCATAGTTTTAATGGATGTTCACTAAAATTTTCTTCTAAAATTTTATAAATCCAATGTGATTCATCAATAGTTTTGATGATGGGAGTTAAATCACCAGGCGGCACGGGCGCAAACTCTTTATCACAAATATATTTATGTTGTTTTAACAAAGGAATATGAATTAAGACATTATTTATGCTTAATGAAATAGCTTTTTCCTGTATTTGCATTGGAAGGTATTTATATATAAAATTATTGCCAAGAAGGAAATCTCCATGCATATACGGAAAACATAAAATTTTTGGTATAATAAACTTGTTATCATTTAACCAAATAGCTATATTTTTATCCTTAAATTGTATGGGAGTATGGTTTGCCAACAATTCCAGTAACCAAAATTGGATGCTTCATTAGTATCCATTTTTCTTTTGGTATGGCATTCCATTTACATGAGTTGACTGTAACTCCTGTATCTATGAGAACACTGAGGCTATAGGGTTTATAACCTGTAAAATTAAATGTTCTAAATACATACGTGTATCTTCTTTTTCCTTGGCTAAGAGAAAAAATAATATTATCATTTTTTGTTTGAAAATGATACATATTTGCAGACTTAATATGTTCAAGATTTCTTGTTCCTGGAAAAATAGGAATATGAACATTGTTTGAAGTAATAGAATCTTAATTAGAATTATTACTTGATTCTCCAATGCTTAACTTTGATAATGATTTTTTAGGAAAATCTTTTTCAAATACAGAAGTTGATCTTTTAATTTTTGAAACTGTATTTTCAATATATAAATTTTTTCCTGATGTCTGCATTTGTAATTGTGCAGGTTTTTTTTTGTTTTAGAAGATTCTCTTTGTCCCACTAGGTCTTGGATTAACCATTGTCGATGGACTTCTAAATTGCTCAAATTCATTAGACGAGGTTGTATTACCGTGTCAAATGGTCTTGGTTCAAAAATTTCAATGATTTTATTATCGTTTGATCTTGTTTTTGTTTCAAGAAATTTGGTTAATTCGTGAATTGTTTTCCAACGAATCGCCAAATCATGAGAATTTGATTTCATTCCTAATTCTTGTGTTTTAATTCTTATTCTGACTGTATCTTCAAGATTAGGATCATTTATGGAAATAAAAAAATTTGGTCTAACATTAAACCAAACTACTCCATTAGCCAAATTAGATTGAATTCCTCCAATGATTGCTTTCATTGGGTCGGAAAATCTTTTATAAAAAATTACTGCCAAGATAGGAGTATCTATCCCTTGGCGAAATAAGGTTGTTATGGTTACTTGAATTAGTCCAATATGAATATATTGAATTTCAGGATATCTCTTTTTCCATCTTGCAACCTTTTTCTATTTCCTTCTTCTGACCATTTTGCTGGAGTGTTACCACTATATTGTTCAAACACTTTTGCTGAAAAGAAGTTGAATTTTGAAAGTTTGTAAATTTCTGGAACAACAACTTCTTGCATTTTTTCGAATTTTGCTAATTCTTCATCGGTAAAAAATTTTTCTTCTCCGATTACATCTCCAAGTCGAATTGCCTGTAATTCTTCTTGAGATGTATTATCTACTTCTTGAGATATTTCTTGACTATTATTAGTTATCATGAAGATTAGTTCTTCTTCTGAACTTTCTTCATTACTAGAAATTTCATATAAGATTTTTTCTTCATAAAAAATTTCTTCTCCATGTATTATTTCAAAATCTTGTTCTTTAAGGATTTTGATCATTTTCTTTGCACTTTTTCCCCTTTTTGGGCGTTCGGGTGTATAGTGACCTTCTTCGTTACAAATGTAACATTTACAAGTTTTCTTTTTTGAAACACTTGTTGATTTCTTTTTTCAAATATACTTTTTCTTTTTTGAAAAAGTTTTGTTCTTTTTTCAAAGTTTCCATTTATATTTTCTACGTTTTTTGGAAAATCATTTTCTTTTAGGAAATGTATTACAACCAAATTTTCAATTTTCTTTTAAAATTTTATCACAACATTTTTGACCGTATTGTGAGTTGAAAATTTAATTTTTTATTTTTTTTTTCCGCTTTTGCTTCTAGACACCGATCTGTTATCAGTCTTAGAATATAATTAATGCGAAAACCAAGATTATCATATTCTTCCTTCCCCATTTTTTTGAGAAAATCAAGATATGTTTTAATACATAACTCATCCCATGGATTAGGGAGTTTATGAAAAAATTGATCTAACCATGATTGATTTGCTGGTGGATCAATAAGATAATAATATTTTTTAAAAGTTTGAACATAGTCTTCAAAAAGACAAATATTATATAATTCTAATTTAGTCAAAATATAATTTGCATTTGCTTGCAAATTAGTATCTCTTGTAAAACCACCTAAATTTTCTTTTATGATTTTTGTAAATTCAGCTAAAATTGTGTCAAGCGTGAGAAAATTTGTTAACAAAGCCGTTTTTTGACTTTTTCCAATTTCATATTTTTCCCACTGTCTTAACCATTGCAGCAACAACACATCTCCCTGGAGAGTTGCTGCAATATAATCAATGAGTTTTTCCTTTGACCAACTACTTTTATAATTGGTAACAATGATGGACAAGGATTGTACCCAATCATCTATTGCTTGTGGTTGATCCTTAAATGGAACATGAGACAAATCTAAATAAGTACTATTTTGAGCTACTGGATACTTATGATTATTATATTTTCTAGATATTACTGACTCAGGTGTAGGATTGGAGGTACTTCCAATGTTAGTATCATTTTTAACTTCATTTGTTTGAATAAAGTCAAAATTTTCTCCATTTTTCCATACGCCAAATAATTCGAAATCAATTGGCTCTTCTGCCTTTCTTTTCCCTTTATTTATTTCTGATGAAATATCTTGATCTATTGATTCTTCAGATGAGGATGATTGGCTGTCATCATCATTAGTTGACATATTAATATCATAATTAAAGTGTTGTAAAAGGGCTTCATTTTCTAGATAGGTTTATCTTATCTGATCTAGTAACCTATTTCTTTCATCAATACCTAAATCTGGGTCTTTATATAATTTTCTCCAATAATCCAATATTTCAACAACACTTTCATATTCAGTCCTACTATAGGTATTGGTTTGAAGTACCATAATATCTTCTGTACCACAAAATAGCCTAGGGATGTCACTATCTCCTGGACTATTCATTCCATCATTGTTTATGAAGGATATAGTTTCTAATTTTGTCACCAAATTATTTTTTTGATTTTTTGCTTCTTTATTTAAGCCAATATTTATTATAAAACCCAAATTGTCTATTTTAGATTCTATAGACTCAACTTTAATCTCTAGATAATTTTGATTTATTTTTTGATTTTTATCTAATTTGGAAAACCAAGAACACATAATATCAGTAATGTACGGGGAGGAAATAATTCTCCTCGTATAATCCTGTTGACCAAGTCCACGCTCCTCCGTACGACGTCGCTTTGTCACCTGAAAACACAAACGTGAGCTAGCCGGCGGGTGTGTGCCGGAAACCTCTCCGATGCCTAAGTCAGAAAACTTGACAAATAGACAAAGCTCTAAGTTCTCAAAAAGATTGTGTTCAATTACCTCCTCCAAGGTGATGCTTGTGAGCTTTTATAAGTTTCATATGGCACAATCCTAGTAGGACTTGTATTTCTCCATACAGAGTCCTCCTAGGATTCAATCTCTTAAGGATAATGCTTATCCTTTTACACCCTCCCCCACTGCTTAAACCAAGTGGGATGGTTTTCTTTACGGCCGAACTTCCTTTTGACCGAAGTAAACTTGGCTATACCGAGCCACAGAAGGCCGAACTATCCTTAGTTCGGTCTTCTCCTCCAACTCTTTACTTCGGCTGCCCTGTTCGACCTTGATGCGCTTAGATCAAACTTCCAGGTAACAAGTTCGGACCGACCTAACCAATGTAAGTCACGACCGGACTAATTCCGACACCGGTCTTCCCAGAACATACTGCGACCGGACTAACTCTGAGTTGCCTCCAGACCGGAGTAATTTTACATCCATGAGCCGAAGTAACATTTACTTCTCCCAGCCGGAGTAACATTGCTCTCTGGGCCGGAGTATCCTTTACGGCCTTCTTACTTAGTCCTTCGCGTTTTGGGCCTCAAAGCCCAACTTGCAGCTCGGCCCAATTTTTCCCAAAAATTACCCTCTCAAGTAATATTATTTAAACTAGAACACACACTATTTATATTTGCAGACTCTTTAGTAATATGCAAACTATGATTATATTTATTATTAACATTATTTTTTGTATTTCCAAAGCATATTATATCGTCAGAATTAATTGTCATTTTAGATTGTTGTTGGTACCTTAGACCCTCCTAGTGTATTATCTAGTGCCTAAAACCTCTCTTTATGATCTTAAAGACTTAATTATGGCCAATAGTCAAAAGATCTTAACGAGTATATGGATTTTGACATACACTAAGCATATAGGTTTTACAACAACTATAAATGAAACAAATAATTATGAAAATATAAAATACAAAAGATACACAAAAAACTTAGACGAATTTTTTTATTTTTTATTTTTATTTATTTATTTTTTTATAACACAAAACACACCATACAAACTTATATATATCAAAAATTTATACATAGATAGAAATACTTGCATCGCTTGATCTTACTTTCAAAAGCTTTTCACCAAGCTCTGATACCAATTACAAAACAAAAAAAGAAATGAGCTTTTTACTATTTTTATTATGGAATTATGGTGGAGTTATGGAATTATAATAGACAAAAAGGAAAGCAAAAAGATGGAGAGAAGATGGAGGGAATTTACATGCTTCATTATGTTGGCATAAAGGCCAATATATAGATTACAAGATTGTGAATACAAACAAAAATACAACTTAATGCATATCTAACATATCTAACTTGGCAAGACTTTAAGGGCAAGAGTAGCACAATTTCTAACACTCTAGTTATAGGCTTTATGAAAAGTCTTCTATAAAAGTAAATACAAAGAGACAAAATGATTAAAGGAAAAACTATAATTATTTGCTCTGTACTACAGTTTTTACAATTATATATGGCTAATGTTGAGTTATAGGAAGAAGAAGAAGAAACCAAAAAAAGGAGACAATGGGCTGGCAGTCCTGGGTAGCCCTAGCCCACCTCAAACCTGAATGAAGGAACCTTTCTATGTATCTTGTGTTCACCTTTTCTTTCACCTCATTCATAGTATACATTGCTTGAATATATTTTTCTTTGTCATGCGGTACAATACAGATTTAGAGTGTACTGCAGAAATTCCGGAAAAATGTTGTCCATACAGAAAACAATCCTTGAATGGGAAATTTGAATTTAAAATCACTTCGTTTGAAAACAGAATGGAAGTCTTCTAATTTTGATGACAAAGGTTTTGTTGATGTTTAGAGATTTTAAGCCTTAATTGTGTTTCCTTTCGAATTCAGTCTTTTAAGTTGTGTCATCTCGAGAACAGCTTCACTTTACTGAGATAGCAAGTAGATACAAGGTCTTGGAGTGTAACGCCCTCAAAATTAACCCATTATATATATAATTGACATGCATTATTTAAAGAAGACAATTTATTAATTCATTCATCAGAGTATTACTAAATAAAGCATCACATGTAACATTGAATAAAATGCCTTACAGGCTTACATCTTTCCAAGCCAACACTTGGATACAAAAATATGAGTTCTAACTCAATACAAGAAAAGCCCTAGGCTTGAATGTTTACATGTACTAATAAATAAAAACAATTAACTAAAGGTAGTCTTCTTCAAACCAGAAGCCAAACCCTCCCAAGCTAAGTCCTTGGAGGTAGTTTATCACCTGAACCTGAAAATGATGTTCCCATAGAGGGTGAGCCATAGCCTAGTAGAAATATTCTAAACCACATATAAGCAATGAATAAAGCAATAGCATTCAACAGATGGTTAACCAAGATAATCAATTACCTCATTTTACAGCCTCAAGACACTATTATCTAAGATACATTTTTACTTTCCAACTTAATCAACATGGCTCAGAACCTGGCCGAACTTACAACAGTGAATTATATATATTATATTCACATTCTTCCAATATCAACAAACAAATGAGACTCAAGCTCAACCGGGAAAGCAGCTGGATACTCTATCCCCTCTGGCGGGCAAGTCTGATCATGACCGAACTGGCGTTGGAACCGGAACGGAAAGTAGAATACACAGTGAGTCAATCTATTCCCTCCCAACAAAAATCCGGTTTAGAGGTCCATCCCCTATCTTCCCTAAACCGTGGAGTACATCCCCTATCTCTCTCCACACAAACAATGTATGCAAATGCAATGCTCAATCAATACACGTATTTTCTGTATCAATGCAATAGTCAAAATTAATGACTTAACCAATGTGATCAGTTTCAGTTATTCTAATCCACATGCAATGTCTACAACAATCACGACTATCCTCCACCGATAGCCCAAAACAGTTATTTCTAAACTGAAATAACTATGTCAACAATTCAATAGACAAATAATTCAAATTATCCAACTACGCCATTTAATCAATGAATTCCCCAATTCCATGAATTAAACCATCTTTTCCCAACTCCATGAATTAATTTTACAAATTAATTTAATAATACAACTAGGGTTTTTCCCAGAATTTACCATAGTATCCCCAACATATCAAAATACCAAAACTTAGAACAAAACCTATAATATGGAGTAGGAAATCCCTACCTCAAAGAAAACAACCCAAAAGGTGAAGAAAGAGATGGGTGCCCAAATACCAAAGTGCTCCAAATCGCCAACTATTCAGATTAAATGGAAGCCCTCGACTCACTCTATCTTTTTAATGAAGGATCTAGGGTAGAAACACTCCCTAAGTGGATCAAATCTAAGAGAGAAGGTGAGTAGGAAGAGAGAGAAGTCAGACCTAGGGTTTGGAATCAAAAAGAAGATGAAAAAAACTGATCAAAACCCGCTGCTGTGTATATAAACTGGACAGGTTCGCTCGAGCGAAGCCTTTGTCGCTCGAGCGACCAGACACAGAAAAGCTACGCTCGAGCCAAGGGAACCTTGCTCGAGCCAACAACCTAAAAGCTCGCTCGAGCGAAAGAAAACTCGATCGAGCGAAGAACTCAAAACCTCAGGTCTGTAAACAGACTCACGCTCGAGCGAAGGAACCATCGCTCGGGCGAAGAACAAACTAACTCGCTCGAGCGAAGAAAATCTCGCTCGAACCAAGAATGCAGAGCTACAGGTCAATACTGGACGCCATCTCTCGCTCGAGCGACCAACTCCTCGCTCGAGCGAAGAACCAAAATCCTGGACAGCAACACTTGGTTTCTAAACCCAACCAACCTGAAACAAACCTGCCCAACACATCCTATAATTCCAAATGAGAAAATAAAGGACAACAACAACAATTATATAATGACAGAATCTACGGAACCTGAGTCCGGATACAATAATCAAATGAGAAAATACCGGGGTCGCTATATGGAGGCAGCTACAAAAACCCTGATCATCCTTGGGAAAAGATACTGGCAGAGGATGGTCCGGAACCACACCAACCTAAGATTATGATTCATAAAAAAGTGGGAAAACATGAGCATTCAAGCACACATGGGGAGGGGGAGAGAGAGAGAGAGAGACCTTGTCAATATCAGTGTGAGCAGGTGTCTCGTAGCGAGCCACTGTAACAGCCAAACCAGAGCCATCGGATAGCTCAAAAACTGATTGAATCTTGCTGTAAAGAAGGGAGAGATATAAGACAGTAGCTATACGTATATATCATAATATTTTGTATATATCATAATATTTTGCATGATGCAGAACGAAAATCATTTACCCTTTCCCATATGTGGGTTCACCAAACAACACTGCTCTTTTATTGTCCTTCAATGCACCAGCTAAAATTTCGCTTGCACTAGCAGTTCCTTTGTTTACCTTAAAAAGCAGCACTTAGAAGAGAGATCAAAAATTCTTTACAAAAACTCATCGTAAATTCTTTTTCCAGAATAATTGTCAACACACAACATTATCGCCAATATTTTTCGAAAGTTTCAAAAATCATTGTCATAAATCATAACAATCACAGAATATAAGTTTGCATACCAGCACGGCTAGGGGTTCTCTAGCTGCTATAGCATTGCTTCCATCAGTGTCATATATATCTCGAACACCTTGACTATCACAAATATACACAATGACACCTTTCTCTAACCTGGTCGGCAATAGCCAACATGAGAACTACAGGAAGTACTATGAAAATTATTCCTGATTGAGACAGGCTAAATTATTCCAATTGACTCGAAAAAAGATAAAGCAGCAGAAAAGGTTAGCCAAACAAAGTATATGTGCAATATTGATCCTACTATCAAGCTTACCAAATCTTAGCAATCTCTATTCCTTCAGGGAAAAGACCACCACCGCATCAAATTTAATCTTTCAGAAAGTTTGCTCAGGGAAAATTTAAAACAAAGCATGCTGAGAGCATTGTCATTGTCACCTATTATCCCGAAGATCCAAGACAAAAGCGTTAACGTTGTTTCTCCTTAAAGTTTCAATTGCTTCCCTGACGGCACCTATAAGTGACGTATATTTTCAGTACATCAAGAATTGTATTGTCTATAACGAAAGAATATACAGCATGGACAAAAGCATAAATAAACATTGTTTTTCCAACATCATTTTATGTCCAAAATGAAAAAAGTTATTAAGATCTTAGATCTTCAGCCTACAAGACATTAACACATTATTACTTTAACAACTCTCTCTCTCTCTCTCACTCAAAGTTAAAATTGTTTTGAATCTTATAGAGTAAGCAAAATCATGTCACATGGGATAAGGTATTGAGAGAAGACATCTTAGCCTATGATTTGATAGAGACTAGCAAAATAGTAGCTTATCCAAATGAGAACACTCATTGATAAGTTATATGCTACGAAGTCAAAACAAGCTTTTGGGAAATTAATGGACTCATCATGTTATCCAAGTGACTTTGACAGAAACTACAAGTGAATAATTTCACATAACTTAGAGGAAGTAACTATAACTATACCATACCAGAAGCGTTTTGGTTGAATGAAGTTAGTTTGATATATCCAACTTTGGAGTCCTCCCTCCCCAAACCAGTTATCTCACAGAGCCTCGACTGCACTGGATTCAATGAAACTCTCTCTCGCCTGAAAAGCAGCAGTTGGTAAATTTTTACATTTGTAGGATTAGAATATCTGCTCAATAAATCTATGTGCACAGAAACCAAACACAGAATGTGACACAACCCTCTCACAATGGGTGGATCCCACGAATATGGGCCCCAACTCTTGTGAGAGGTTTGTATCCCGTTCTGTGTTTGGTCTCTGTGTTTCTAGCATTACTAATATCTGCAAATTCTTACTTAAATACAAACATGCATACTCATTCATCTATATATCTCAAGTATAACTAAGCACCACAAGTCATAAACTACTGGTCCACAACAGTAAATGAAAAAAACAATCCCCTTACAAAATTAAAACAAAAAACTACATAGAAAAAAAGCTCATAGCTCATTGAAGCAGAAAAAAATAAGATGTTAAACATACACCAAAGATAGGTGCTTTATCTCAGGTCCACTCTGAATAGTTAGTTCCACTGCACTGCCTTCAGGTCCCCTGCATTTCACTTGAATGTTTAGATTATCAACAATCACGTAAATAACTAACAAACATTTGAAAGGAAACAAGAAGATAGTAGATGATCACACAGGCAAGAACCTAACTAAGACAATCAGAAGTAAAGTTTTTTGGAGTATTTCAGTTAAACAATATGAAACGTGATATGCATTTCCAGCTATCTGAACTTCTCAGCATTAAAGTTCATCAAACAACAATAATTAGTTGTAGGCAAGAAAGATACTTCCAAATCATCTTGACGATATAATTTTTGTAATTTCAGAAAGGATAAATAAATAAATAAATCATTCTCTCAGATTTCTGAAACCGATACAGGGAAGTTACTGCACTATGAAAAAATCTTCTATATAAGCTGCAAGACAAGTGATCATTCTTCTATGAGCACGGGATCTCATTGAATGAATGTTAATTTTTGGCCAAAAATAAGTCAAAACTCACTGCAAACGGTCTGCTGCATCGTATATGCCCATGGTTTCTGTATTTGCGTCATCAATTTTCAGGATAACATCCCCGGACAAAATACCGGCTTTATTTGCAGGACCTACTGGAGCAGTTGAAATTACCACCAGTCCTGCAGTTGATCCATCACCTCCGGTAGGGTAGCCAATTGACAGCCCTACACCTGTAAGACTGCCTTGTGTCCCTAACTGCCTTCAAAAGATATATTCAAAGATTTTAGAGGCAATATGAAAAGGTGCTAATTTGCTGACCCCAAATAGTTACTAAAAGTCTTTCTCAAGTCAAAGTACGGTGAATTAAAGTGGTAAGAAGAAACTGCCTTGTACCCGCAGACTTTTAAACTTTTCAGGCTCCAAAAACCTAGTGAAAGGATCATCCAAGGTGGCAAGCATTTTCCTGATTGCCTTATCTGTTTACAGAGATAAACTGAACTTAAAAAACATTCTGCATTTAACTTACAAAAATAGAAGTTATAACTAGTCTCAATGAAGGCCTATAACAGTATAAAAACTACATGATTGAGATAGAACGGCCTGATTATTATTGATCAAAATTTTCACCTCAACAAAGAACAATCTTTTTGGTGTTCAGTGAAACACACTATCACAACCATAACCTGAATTATCATTGTTGTATATAAATTGCATATAATAGGAAAAATTAGACACGTACACACCAACCTGCACAATATAACTGTGATTGAATTATTGTCACTGTGGTCTTCCTTTTTATAGTATACAAAGTTTTATCACTAATTCTAGGATGCATGCAAACCCCACTGGAAAATACAAGACTAAGAAGCTCCGAAAGCGTACATGTCTCTTCTCGGGTGTTCATTGGTTCATTGCGCAATGCATTTTCTCTGTACCTAAACCAACTTTGTCCATTGAAATTTTTGTCAACATATGCACGGTCAATTGCTCTCCATGCCTCTAAGAAAAGACGAATCTCTTCGGCAAGGGCCACTGCAAAATGTTAGCATTGAAGTATTATGATAGGAAATAAAATAAAATTTCAACCACCGGAAAAAAAGAGAAATAAAATCGCCATTCTCTTAAGCTTCAAACCAAATTTTAATTTACAAAACGATCCAACTTACAGAAAGGAGTTTTGCTAACAGCAACAGAAACCATCATAACAAGGACCATACCAACAATGATGTGGACAAAAAGAAAGGATACATGCTTTTTAAAATTTTCTTAACATTTTACTACATGCGGAAGACAGATTGTGTGCTTCCTGAACTTGAAAAGGCATCCATTCCATACTGAGAACAAACCACATTGCAATGTAATCTTTCGTACTGGTTGACAAAAGAACCTGTGTCTGTAATCTTGTAAAGAATAGAATACTGGCTTGCAACTTCTTGGCCTGTCATTGACATCGTTGCTTATATACGATAAGGAACTCCGTAATCGAGTTTCTATGATCCTAATGGGAAGAGACCTCTGAATCTGCACCAGCAAAGAATACAGTTGAACATTTTCATATGCACATAAAACCAAAAATCAGTATCTTCCTATTTCAGGAGATGCAAGTTGATAAAATATTTCTCCTTATAACAAAATTTAACTGCCTATCTAAATCAGTTATACATAGACGCAATGAAAAGCATGTGGTTTATGTCATTACTGAATTTCACAAATCTTTCCAAGAATGTGAGGGATGTTCAGATCACTTTGTCTGTTTACTCTGCAATAAGTGTAGTTCAATAGGCTTGTATCATTTAAAGAACAAAAATTCACTTTAAAAGCTTTCGAATGTATTGTGAATTACACTGATAAACATCCATCTCCATGTGAACTTTGAAAAGGCATCAAATTATGTCATACAATTAAAACATAGAGAAAAAAAGAGAGAGGAAGAATTGCCCACTTTTGGGGGTCATGAACCTCCTCCTGAGAGCAAAAGCCTTGTTTTTCAAATAGGGTTTCGTCATTCTACTAATACAATTATTTACAGTAACAAAAGATAACACTTCTAAAAACTAGCAAATTACAGGTAAGCTGTCTCGCCAATTCAAGTAAAAGCATAAACCCAATTCGCATAACGTTCTGTTTGGTTACCAAGAAAACAGACAGAAATCGAATTCAGAATTTTCACCTCGTATTTAGATATCAAGTAAACGCATAAACCCAAATTCACATGTTAATTTAGCTCTGTTTGGTTACCGAGAAAACAAAGGAAAAAAGAAATAGAAAACGAATTTCAGAGTTTTGCGTGGTGCTGTTTTCTTGTGAATTCCTTGAGAGAGAAATCGGGGTTTCTGTGTGCGTTGGAGAGGAGAAAAGGAGAGGAGAGAGACGAATAATCAGAGGATCCGATTAGCACCACCTCCATTGAAGAGCATTTCGGAGAGCAAAGTCAGAAAATTATTAACTGCGTTTTTTTTTTTTTCTTTTATCAGGAAAAAAGGGCTCTAAGGTGTCATCACGGCTCGTGGGCCCTGATCCGGGTAATTGATTAACTCTCATCATGCAAGGGACCCATCACTGAAATATTAGGAGAGTTCAACTATAGAGCTCAACTATACGCCACAGACCACCGACCTAATTAGTGGGAGCACTAATTAGTGCTCCCAAACATTTTTCTAGGAAAAAAGGGTTATGAGATGTCGTCACGGTCACGTGGGCCCTCATCCGAGAAATTTGGTTGTCAGTTAGAAATTAACTCTTACTATGTGAGGGACAGACTGTCGGAGTACCAGGAGAGCTCAACTATACACCATACGCACCAGGGGGCTCAACTATATGCCATAGACCGCCGAGAACTATATGTCACACGCACTAGGAGAGCTCAACTATACGCCACAGACCGTCGAGAACTATACGCCACACGCACCAAGGGAGCTTAACTATACACCACAGACCGCCGAGAACTATACGCCGCACGCACCAAGGGAGCTCAACTATATGTCACAGACCACCAGGGAAGCTCAACTATACGCCACAGACCGCCGAGAACTATACGCCACACGCACCAAGGGAGCTTAACTATACGCCACAGACCGTCGAGAACTATACGCCACACACACCATGGGAGCTCAACTATACGCCACAGACTACCAGGAGAGCTCAACTATACGTCACAGACTGCCGAGAAACATACGCCACACGCACTAGGGGTGCTCAACTATACGCCATAGACCGCCGAGAGTATTTTTTGAAAAAATTCAATAAATTTTTTTTTTTTTTACAGAAAACAAGAAAATAAAAATTTTTAAAAAGTATTTTTTGAAAAATTCTAACCAAATGATTTTAGTTCCAATTTATGTGGTATTTAGGTTCCTTATCGACTCTACTTGGGAACATTCTTCTCTGTGTGGACTACAATTTATGCCTGGACTTTTATTATTTATTAAAATATAATATATATATATATATATTAAAACTAAAAGTGAAAGTAACATTAAAAAAAATACTTGGCATTTTGGAATAAAAAAAGCTTCATGACACAAAGTTCGGTTTTTACTTTATATATATAGTATACACATATTATTTTTTGCTCGAATTTAACCATCAGATGAACAATTGATGTTTTAATAAAAATAAATAAATAAATCCTTAGTGCATGATATATATATTTGTTTGTTTAAAATAAAAAATTAAAAAAAAAAGAACAAAAAACATATTTGTTACGGTAATTGGAGGTGGGAAGTGGTGGTGAGAAGGAAATAAGAACTCCTTTAAAAAAAATAAATGAAAATAGTCCTAAATAGCATAATGTAACATTGCCAGTTTTATAAAAGAAAAAGCATGTTTTTTTACAAAAATAACAATTGGTACACAGACTTACGTTTTCAAAATAAATAAAAATAAAAACAAAATGTGAATGTATGCTAAATCTTGCATTATTATTATTATTTTATTTATTTATTATTTTTGGCTAATCTTGGACTAGGGTTCGTCCATTTCTAAATTCAAAAACCCTTTTTAGGCCTTCAAAGCATATTAAGGCCTCGTTTGAGAACCCTCCCTTTTAGATAAAAAATCAAAAAGTTACTAAATCAATCAAAAAGTCAATAATTCATACTAAAAAGTCAAAGATTCTTTTTTCTCTCTACTTTTTGCATATCTTTTCGTAAAAAGTCAAAAAGTTATCCCAAACATACTAATTTTTTTTAGTTCATATTTTAGCCAAATAACCAAAAAATTACTAAATTAGCATGTTCCCAAACGAGACCTAATTATCCTCTCTCGTGCAATGATTTTTTTCAAGAAATTTGGTTTCTTTGCATCATTTTACGTGCGAATTTTTGCGAATTTCATAAACATAAATTATTTAGTGCTTTCATAGCACTTTTCAATGATATAAAATTCCTTGTAAATGGCTTTAGAATTAGGAAGTTTCAAGTATTTCGCTCTCAAGGCTAACATTGGGCTTTGGTTGTGAAATGTCCAAAATCATGGCAACAATTGGACATTGGGCTAAACCAATCCTTTTAAATCATCTTGGACCCTTTTTAAATTTGTTTTGGGCCTTTGAATTGAAACTAATTTTGGCACTTAAAAAACAGAAACAAAAATAAAAAATAAAATAAAATTCCTCCCAAGATGAGACTGGAACTGGTTCAAAAGGGTCCAATTTCACCCATGTTAGTCAGGAAGTGATTATTGGGTTGTTTTAAAATATTGCTTGCACACCATTTTATCATGCCACACTTATCAAGTTGTCTTCTAAATTCTTAATAAAAAGTATTAGATTCTACAATTTTAATCAATAAATATCATATTGAAACGTCATGTGAATTTGTCTCAAAATTAGTACATAATTTTTTGTTCACCAAGACCAGTAGATAATTTTTCATTAACCAGACTACCCAGCCAAAGATGGTCTGATCACTCTTCCTTTAGATTTCTTGAATTTTTGAAATATCTTTCTTAAAATTATGATAACTTTCTCAATATACATGCATTTCGGCTTAAGTTAATTAATGAATCAACTGGATGAGGAGTAAGGGCTGCCACTATGGTTGGGCAAAGTAGGTTTCTAATCCATTTTCTGGTACTTGTCCAGATTTACTTGATACAATTGATTGATAGGTAATTGTATGCATTTTGAATTTATTCTATAAAATTTTTTAGTCTAAGTTGATCTTATCTTAGAGAGATTTCTTGTTAGTATGATAATCATTAAGTCATTTCGTACAAATTATTATTATTATTTTTTTTTTGAGATTCGAGTAGATTATAATTTTTTTTTTTTCAATGGGCGGATAGAGAGCAAACACAAAATTGAATAAATTATAGGACAATATTTTTTTTAAAAAAAAAAGGTATAAAATTAAAAAAATAGTTATTTTCCTTGTAAATAGCTTTAGAATTAAAAGTTACAAGTATTCTGCAGTTAAGAATTTCATTATCACATTATTAATTTCATAATTATTAAAGAATGTGCTTTTTTCGAATCTTTATAATACGAAGTCAAAAAGCATTTTTAATTTCAAGTCGTGTGATGACATTTATTGAAGCATGCATATGCGGAACCACCAACAACTCTGCATTCGGTTGCTTTGCTGGGTGGATCTTCTAGAACTGTGGATCTTCAATAAACTCCCAAATAGCATCTGCACTTTTGTTGGCTTTGATTTGTCTTGTTGACCTGACCACACACCAATGACCCTATCGCTCAAATTGTGAGGTGCTTAGTCAAATTCTTTGAAAATTTGGATCAAGACTATCAAATATCAAACTCCTCTGTATTAACTAAAAATCTCACAATATAAAGAGCGTTACACAATTATAAAAGCACAGTTTGTTTGTGAGTGTTTGAGAAGTTGTTATTTTAGTAGGATATTTTAATTTTCAACTATTTTAGAAGGTTAAAATTTTTATGTTTAAAAAGATAGTTGAATTTTTTTATAGTTAAATATGATATTTGTGAGAGAAAAAGTGAAATGATTATGGATTTAATGTGACATTTTATTTTAGGAAAAATTATTTATAAGTTTTATTAGGAAAATTTATGCTACATATGGTCCTACTAAAAAACTTATGTTTCCATAAGTTTCGTGGGAAGTTTGTTGATATATTTACCCTCAATATTAGTTGTTAATATCATAAATAATTATAAAACTATATATAGGAAATTAAATGTTACCATAGATCGTATCTACATATACGTAACGTAGCGTGACATCTACATAAACGTAACGTGACACCTATGATCTACATAAACGTAACGTAACGTGACACCCACATAAACGTAACGTGACACCTATGATCTGTGGCAACATTGAATGTTAATTGAATGTTATCATACATCATATTTATATGAAACGTAACGTGACACCAAGATAAACCAGTAACATTTTCACATACAATTCAAAAAAATAAAAACTCATTAAGTTTGCGAAACGTAACGTGACATGTTACGTTACGTTTATGTAGGTGTCACGTTACGTTACTGTTGGCTACATATTTTGTATAAGCCAATTACAATTCGACATGTGGTAGAATAAGGGTAATACAGGAAGATTATTCAAGTCTTCGATCCTGATCGCACACGTGGCAGTTAGTATTGGTTTTTGCGAGATCTGAGTAGCAGTGGATCAACAAAGAGATGCAAGGTAATGTGGCATCAACGGTTACTCACATTTAAATTCAAATTTAGGAGGGAAGCCTAACTGCAAGTGATGGCACCGTGGAGCCAATTGTAAGGCAACATGATCAGCGATTATGGAGAAACAGTTCGACGATTGGAAATGCAATTCGATGGTCATCCTTGAGAAGTATAAATAGCAGAGAAGGCCTAGAAAAAGACCCCCAGACTCAGATCTAAAAAACCAGTCTTATTCTACTTATTTTCCTTCCCAGTTTTACATTTCCAGTCTTACATTTCCTATTCTTTACATTCCTGTACTTTAAATTCTTGCACTGCACTTCGTTCATAGGAGTAGTTTTAAGTAGTAGATTGTTACTGTAAACCTCTACGAGGCTAAGTTTGGATCATTGTAAGTTTTTATGTTAATGAAATGCTTCAATTATTCTTCATTTAATTGTTATCTTGCTTAATTCTCCTAAATCAAGCCACATGTAAAAGTCCTCTTCATTGAGGCTGAAAGAACTAAAACACAATCGTCTGATAATTGGTTGGCAATTAATTTTCTGTAAGGACTGATTGATCCTTGCTGGCATGCTCGCAATTACAAAAATAACCTTCGAAAGCCAAAAAGTCAACATATATTTTTGGCATGTCCGGTGGGACCAATTGAAATGGCTAGACGTAGGAGACAAGGAGAAAATGAATGCTTGGAAGAAGGCGTGGAATGAGAGGTAGAGATACCTAATCCAGAGGATAATGTGATAACATATCCTGTAAAAACTCCCATTTTATCAGAACCTATGGTTGAACAGACCAGCATTTCAGAACAAGTACCACATGTTCAT